GGAGTGGTCGCGGCGGCACAGGCGATAGAAGCGGAGGAGGATGCGGGAGCGGTAGGGGGAGGAGACAAGGAAGATGACGGCTGTGGCGGCGGATGGGTGTTGTTGGAGGAGAAGGAAGGTGGAAGAGGAGGAGGGGGAAGGGATGTTAAGGGTTTGGGTATGGGGTTGAGAGGGAGTGAGAGAAAGGGGAGAGAAAGAAGGGTATAAAGAAAGGGAGGCATCAGTGTGGGTAAGTGCAAGAGAGAGAGAAGAGGGTTCAAAGAGGATGGAGGTGTGAGGGTGGGGAGAGGAAGAGAGGGAGGAAGGGTTTGGGAGAGGGACTTTGGAACCTTGGACAACAACCATTACAAAACAAAGTCAAAGCAGCAGAGAGATTGCTCACTCACTTTCCTTGTTTTCTGGTTTGATATGGTCGGAGGAGTTGGAATGAGTGGGTAGCTGACGGAGGAGAAGAGGATACAAATGGTGTTGATTTGGGAAGAGGAGATCAAAGAAGGGAGCAAAGGCTGCGTTACTTTCAATACTTCAACTTTATGTCTCTACCTCCTTTCTCGTCATTACGCAAGAAAGAAAAAGAAAATGTTTTTTTTTTAAATATAAGCAAATTTCATTGTTAGTTTTTAAACAGGGTTAAATATGTTTTTAGTCCCTAAACTATTGGCCGTTTCTGGTTTTCGTCCCTCTTCCAAAGTAAGGTACAATTTGGTCCTCATTCTTTAGAAAAACGTTCGTTTTAGTCCTCAAAATTTTGTTTTTAGTCCTCGTTTTAGTCCTCAAAACGTTCGTTTTTTCGACTAAAACGAACGTTTTTTAAAGATTGAAGACTAAATTGTACCTTACTTTGGAAGAGGGACGAAAACCAGAAACGGTCAATAGTTTAGGGACTAAAAACATATTTAACCCTTTTAAATATTCTATCTCTAGTTAAGATATGAATATGTAAGATTTGGAAAACTTAATGTATTTAATTTTTTTATAATTTAATTCAATTTTTAATAATAGGATTGAGTTAAATATGTTTATTATTTTCAAATTACTTTTAAAATTGTGTTTTATCTTTAAATTAAATTATACATTTATTTTGTCTTTATAATTTATTTAAGTTATATAAAACATTTTTTCTGACAAATTATTATACGCAGAATGTTTTTAGCATACCCAATAGAGCTAGATAGTAGATATTATTAGTTATATTATGTATATCCGAAACTATCTAACATTCATTTAATAAAGGTATATCCAATTTCATCTTGGTCTTCACATAATGAGAGTTTAGTTAGTGTTATTTTATGACCTTGATAAGCACATCAATATCATCTCAGTCTTAACAAGCATGGTCATTAGCACATGTTATTTTTACTAGTATATCATATAAATTGTGATATCATGTGGGCCTAGTGACAATCGAGATCATGTTAGCCTGGTGATAATCGAGATCAGAAGTTGGACCCTCTAAGGTCGACATGGCTAGAATGTTAGAGGCCCAAATAAAAATGCAACAAAAGTTTACAAAGCTTAAGAAAATAATTGCTAAGGAGAAAGATGCCTTAAGGAAAGAAAATGTCAGGCTAAGAAGAAAGGTAAAGTTGATGACAATATGAAGGAGAAGGAGAATCCAAACAACACAGTTTTTGTGCAAAAGCTCATACTGGTGATTGAGGAGGGAAGTGCTAACAACAATATCAAAACGTAAGGAACAATGAGTACCTCATTTGTGACAGTTCTTAAAACAACATTTGAGATTGAACATATTCATACTCGTACTATTTGTATTGATGATATATGTCCACCCTTTGATGCATTATTTATTATTAAAAATGATTCTAAGTTCACTTTTGACAAAGTTGTAATGTTTGATGATTCACTTATGCATGCTGACTTTGAATTTAGTGATTGCTTTGCATAATTAAACGAAGAAGAAGCTACATAAATTAAAGGCACAAAGGAATTGTTAGTGGAGGCAAGATATGGTGTTAATGGTGCTCAAAGAACCTAGAACACACAAAATCAGTAGAAAATGCACGAGGACCTTTGGTTGTTGCAGCAAGGTGTTTTGAACATGCAAAATCACAGTCAACCCTGAATGGAGAGTTGAGGTTACTAAAAAAAAATAGATGTTGTTGAAATTAATGTTTATGTCTCAATAAACACCAACAAATCCTAAGTTTTCCTACTAATGTAGTAAAAGGGAAAACCTCAGGATTAATCCAAGGACTCTATTCTTATTAAGTTTCGAAATATAAAGTAAAATCCTAATATTTACCAACTATTAACTATGTGGGGAAAAACAAAATTAAAAAGGAAAGAAACTAACTATTAATGGTAAGATTCTAACTAAACTAATTCTAAATTATGCATGTTTCCTAATTTAGAATGATGCATGAAAGTAGAAATATGATTTTGTTTTATGCTAAAGAAAATGGAATTATAACGAATGGTAATGTACAATTATTATTTCATATTAGTGCATGCAATGAATGATGATATGTATTTATATGTATATAAAAGTAAAATAAAATACAATGCAAATGAAGGAATGAATAAAATCTCTTAAGTCTGAAACAGAACTTATAAATGTTATCTAATTCTAGTTTCTTGAATGCTCATGTAAATGATATATGACACCTAAACTAAAATAATGCACAAATGCAGTTAAAAAAACCTAGCTTATTGAACACTTTTAATCATGAATTTCAATAACAAACCTTGAACCTACAAATGCTACGACTAAATGGTGCAAAGAAACAAGAAACTGAACCTAAACATATGAATGCCATGAAACACGTACTAAACCAAATGAACATTAATCCTATGCATGTTCTGAAAATTAAAAATCTAATGCAATGAATTGTAATCTTCACATGAATAGAACCAAGTAACAAGGGAATAGGAAATCACAATTTAACTAAACAAACATATAATCAATTGTGCAGAAAACCAAAAATTAAAGGAATAAAATAAGAATATTGGTGAAAAGCAAAACTCAGAGATAAATGTGCATGCATTAGATTGGACAAAAGAGTCTCAATTACTCTTCAAAAGACATTTTGTGAAAGAATAAGCCCACTTTAAGGTCTTTTAGTTCATGTTTCATAACTTGCAATGATAATTCCCGTTCAATTTCCTAATCAATGTAAATCTAAATCTAAAATGTACTTGAATGAATGATTATGGAAATTAAAATTCAATTATAGAAAGCAATGGCTAGAAAACTAAGTGATGGAAACAATCTAAAACTAAGAACATAAAGAAAATGCAAAGTACTAACAAAGAATAGAACCTAATCAAGAACAAGTGGAAACAATTATGTAAACTATACTCACTATTATCATAGTATCCAATCAAGACTAACAAAGGATAAAACCAAAAATTTAATCCTAATCTACTAAACATCATAAAACCTCAAAAAAGCAAACAAAATGGACATAATCAGAACCTATTATCTACAATGCACAACCAAAGTGAAATCATCAAATACCTAAACTGATTTCAACCAAACTAATAGAAATAAGCAAAGATTAAATATACAAATCAAAACATAAAGCAAAATCGTATTAGAAACACTCATGAACTACCAATTACAATAAAAGAAATTAAAACACAAGTGAACTCTGAAATAAGTAAAACATTGCAGAAAATCAAGTAAAAGAAGAAATCGTAATCACAACAAAAAAATCACAAAGGAATTGAAATTTCATTACAGTCGAAGCAAAAGTAAAAACAGAAATTGTAATCAAAGCAATAGTTTGTCTTGTTTTTGCAAACATTTTTACATGACTAAGGTGGTTGCAGGACTTACATTTAACTCTGGTCTCGACCAATAGTAATTTTTTGTATGGCTTGTTTTTTTACAATGAAAGCAATGTGAAAACTTCTCTTTCCAAACCCTTTTATTGTTGTTTTCTTTTTTTCACTACCTTAATTTCCATCAAAATGCCTTTTTTCATAACTATTTCTTCCTCAAAGTTTTTTTTTTTATTGTTAGCTACAAATGCATCTTCCACATTTTCTTCTATTATTAGTAGGGATGACAAGGAGTCAGGTTAGACACAAATAATGTCTACCATCTAACCAACAACAAAAAAAATTCACTCGTTATCCATCGGATACCCATTTAAAAAATATCCACGAATTTTTTAAAACATGCATGTATTTTGAAACCAACAAGTACTTGTAAATACCTACGAATATTTAAAAAATAATATTTTATAAAATTTTAGAATAAAATATAAATAAAATTAAAAAATAAATATAATATAATATAATTTCAAATTTAATTTTAATTAAAGTTAACTTAATAAAAAATATTTAATTTTAATTTTACTTAAATTTAAGTTAATATAATATAAATTAAAATTTTATTTTATTTTTGTGTGGATAATAGATACTAGAAATTTCAACACTTTGTGGTTATTAAAATATCTAAAGGCATATAATAAATATTCAAAAATAGTGGATTTTATTCACATATATCTACTGTGATATTTTTGTCGTCCTAAATTGATCTTCTTTGCTGAGTGGCTTACAAAGCATTCACAAGTTCAAGTAAAATCAAATAAAAGTCTTTATTTTCTTCTAATAATGCAACATTTTACTCAAACTTGGACAGAAGACACACCAAATTTTTTCCACTCTAAGCTCTTCACCTAACAATCTAATTTGAGTAACCATTTTAGAAAGTATGTCATGAAACTCTTTTATGTTTCACACTCCTTCATTTTGATTGCTTCAAATTCTCTTCTCAAATTCAACTCTTTCATTGCCTTGGAATTCTTCCTCAAACTTCTCCCAGGCCTCTTTTGCTGTCTCAAGATCCAATGATAAAATAATCTTCATGTAAAACTGCATGTATAATGACAAGTTCTCTGCCTTCCTTTACCACTTATTCACTATGGAATCTTATTTGAGCCACTTTTGGGTTCTCTTGTAAAGGGCTGGATTACTTCCCTTTTCCACCACTTCCCATAGTGTTTGAGCTCTCAAATAAGTTCATAATTTTGCAGCCCACAAATCACAATTTTGTCCTAAAAAATAGGAGGTAGAGGTAAGGAACTACTGGTTGATGTCATCTTTTCGTGTGGGTATTTTTTCTGATTTGTATATGACTTTCTAACTAGTTTTCACTTCCTCACATACCCTTAAAATCAATGAGATCTTGATACCATGTTTGAATCTCAGAAAAACTATAATGGGTGCAAAGTCAGAAGGTACACAGAATAAAGTTTTGGTTGTAAAGATACACTGTGAAAGAAGGGAGACCGAGAGCCTTTTATACTATATGAGTACAGTGGGTTATATGCTACCAAATATTTCTCTCTAGTTAAAACCAAGAGATGTAAATCTATATAAAATAAATAGTACCATTAATTCTCACCAATCATACAATTATTTTTCTCACAAAACAAAGCCTATAATTAATTTCAATCTGACAAAACTTAACAAGCACAACATAATATATAGTAAAATATCATTTTCTGACATCTACAGAGTAAAACAAAAGAATGTTGATTTTTTTACTGGTCTATTCTTCCCACACTCCAACAACACCAGCCACACATATCTCTTTCCATTACAAAAAATTGAATCCATGTTTATTCCTTTGATTACGAAAGAGTTAAGCCAATCTAAAGTGAAATTTGAAATTAGTGTAGACTGAGATTGTTAGGGTAGTGAAAGAAACATAGGGTCTTGAATGGTGCTCAGTCTTGGAAACCAGAAATAACAGCATGTGGTTCACAGGCCTTGGCAGCGTCGCTGGGCTCAACAGCAGGCCCGGGCTGAACATACTCGGAAAGAAGCTCCTGAGGCAAGTCTTTGATGCCCTTAAGGTAGAAAGTGTAGAACAGTTTGAAGGGGAAGACAAGTTGTTGACACTTTACTTGACCATGCACCCCTTCAAAGATGCCAGTTCCACCAGTGACAGCAAGATATGAGTCCTGATAGGTCAGGTAAGAACCCTGCACTGAAATGTGACCGTAGTCCCCGAAGTAGAAGCTGTAGATTGCCTCGTACATGTCTCCTTTCTTCTCTGCTTTGTTTTGGATCAAAACACAGATTCCTGCNAATAACAGCATGTGGTTCACAGGCCTTGGCAGCGTCGCTGGGCTCAACAGCAGGCCCGGGCTGAACATACTCGGAAAGAAGCTCCTGAGGCAAGTCTTTGATGCCCTTAAGGTAGAAAGTGTAGAACAGTTTGAAGGGGAAGACAAGTTGTTGACACTTTACTTGACCATGCACCCCTTCAAAGATGCCAGTTCCACCAGTGACAGCAAGATATGAGTCCTGATAGGTCAGGTAAGAACCCTGCACTGAAATGTGACCGTAGTCCCCGAAGTAGAAGCTGTAGATTGCCTCGTACATGTCTCCTTTCTTCTCTGCTTTGTTTTGGATCAAAACACAGATTCCTGCAGTTATCCCCACCCTCTTTTGCAAGCATCCGGAGTACAACTGAATCATCCAAAAAAATCTAAATCAATACCAAAGCTATGCAAAGATTTTGAACATTCAATCAAACAAAACCAAACTGTAACATGCCTTGTTGCTGAAGGGGACTAGATCACCAAGAGAATTGGTAGTTTTCTGGCTCAATCTGAGGTAAGCAGGGCTTCCACGATCTCTCTCATTGATCTCATACACTCTTAGTTCTTGGACGTTGGCTGCAAGATCAAGCGAAAAAACCAAAAGGGTCAGCACAGAATCAAGCAAATCGCAAAGATCTTCAATATTGAAAAAGTCGTAGGGGAAGGTGGCACATTTATGTACCTGAGTCAGATGCTTGTTGAGCCTGGCTTCTACAAGTGAAACTCTTGTGGGGGAGTGAGAGGTGAGAGTGCTGGGAAGAGGTGTTGAGTTTGAGAGATTTTGAGAGAGATGAGTGTGAAGAAGTAAAGTGTAAGAGGGATGTGGTGTTCGAAGTGGCGAGTGATGATGATCTTGTGGAGATAGTAGCAGGTTTCAAAGAGTTAGGGGAGATAGTTCTGAAAGACAAGGTTGAAGCTGCCATGAATGATGATGAAGATGCTAGCTTTTAGAATATGGTGAGAGAGGAAGATGATTGCAATGGTGAGATAAGTTTTTGAGTGCTATGAAAGTGATGACTTTGTTAGTGGTGTATATATAAGGAAATGATGAGACAGAGCATAGATGAGGAAAAAACAATTAATATTACAAAGTTATGGGAGTTGTCGTGTGGGGGTACGGAGAGAACGAGAGATTGAGAGAGAAAAAGTGTGAAAATAATTAAATAAGAAAAATATCATTTTACACGCCTAAATATTTTATATTATCCTTATTTACTTTACTTTATTCTTTTATATAAAATATAAAAAATTTATATTTTATAATCATTTTATCTTTATATTATGTGTTAAATAAATATAAAAGTATGTCATAGTATTATTATTCGTTTCAAATAATAATAGAAATCAAGGTGTGAAATATAATAAAAATAGTAATATTACAATACACTTTAATATTCATTTAACATAATATAAAATAATTATAAAAATGTAAATTTTTATATTTAAAAAAAAAAAAATAGTTTTAAAATAAATATAAAAGATTAAATGTGTGAAAGAATATTTTTTCTATAAGAAGATAAAAAGTATAAAATATTGAAGTAAAACGTGAAGAATGTTGTAAAGAAGAAGAAGGTCAAGGAGGGGAGTGAATGGTCAAGTTCTGGTTCCTTGAAACTAAGCGCGTTTGGATTTCATTGTAAGTAAAAGCGTGTTTGGGTTTGCTTTTTGTAGCTACACGCGTGTATTTGCTTTGAAGGACCAAATAATTGTTAGTGTTTAAGCAAAAACGTGGGTTTTTAGACGGAAATCTAATAATAACGTGTGTCATGTGGCCTTTTTAACAAACACACCTTTGGCACATCAATAAAAGGAAAATGATGGATTGATACTTTAATATCATCATTAAAAACATGTATTTTTTTATTTGTAAGGAGTAAAAAACTTTGAAGGATGTATAAAATAGAATATATAAAGATAGGCGTAAAAAAATTTGTTAAATTCCAAGATATCATAGTCTTATTTAAAATATGTGTTTAAGGTTGTGTTTCTTATTTTATTATTGGCAAATATTTTTTTCTTTTTCATTGTTAATTTTTATTAAGTTTAAGATAATGCTAATTCTTTTGTTATTAATTATAATTTCATTTTCTGTATAAATTCTCCATGTGTCTATATTTATTTTTTTAATTAATTTTTTATAAAATTAAATAATTATTTTTTATTTTTTATTTCTTTAATTTTTTTGTTTTCATTTCACTGTGTTTTAAACTTAACTATTTTTTAATTATAAAACTATTTATAAAATAAATAAAAACTATTTATAATAAAATTATAAAAATTATTTATATTTAGTTTCATAGTTGTAATAATAATAATAGTAATAATAATAATTTTATTATTTTTTATTACCTTAAAAAAGTGATATAATCACTAGTATTGATAAGATAGATCAAAGTATAAGTTGGTGTAAACATGTTTCGAAACAATAATGTTGGGAAATTAGGGCAGGTAATTACTTAAGAGGATTTGATAGTTTAATTAAATAGACCAGATTGAATTTTTTTTATTGGGTTTTATTCAATTTATTGAATCTCATCCAACATATTGGATATAGGTGTACAAAATTATTAAATGATTATATAATAATACAATTCTTATTTAACTTTTTTTCACTAATTTTCTAATTAAATATTTATTTTTGAAATATATAAATATTAAATAATATGATCCATTTTTAAAAAGGCTTGATTTTAGTGTTATTTGTTTCGAAATCTATCACTCAATTAATCTAACTTGATTAAATTGAATAAATGTAATAAAGTATACAGAAATCTGGCACAATCCAACTTAATTCGTTGTTTTGTGTTGATACGTTTATTCAAACATATTCAACCCTGGTAAAGGACACAATTTTAAAGGAACAACAATTTCTTTTGTTTGGTATGAGAACAATGAAATGAACAGAGTTATAAAGAATACTTTATGATTTTCTTGTTCTGAATATATATTTTAGTATATTCTAATACATGAAAAAAATTGAAATAAAAAAAATATTAGAGAATATTTAACAATTAAAATAAATATTTTAACTTTAGTTCCACTGAAAATGTAGTAGCTTCCATTTTCCCTTAACATATTTTTTTTTAGCAAAAGCTTCACCCCTCATTTCTTCACAATTATCTCGTTCTCATCCTTCTCTTTGATCAAGAGTGACGACACAGTTAGGGATATAAGATTGCATCACAAGTTATATTCAGTGGTAAGTACTCACTCTGTTTTTTTTCTCCTGAACTATTCTAAAATTACATGCAAACACTTTTTTCCCTTTGCATCTGTCTTTCGATTCCTCCTTGGAAACATTCTCTTTTTTGTGATTCTAATGAGGCAATTGGATCATTAATTGTTAGAATATGTAATTAAAGTTGTCATACAGTATAGGTTTTCTGAATGGTACGATAGTTGGCATACTCTCACTCTGTATATATTTACATTACCTATCTTACATACATAATACAGTTTTAACATTTCTGAATTCTCTCTCTCTCTGGTTCTTCTTGCACCCTTTTCTCTCTGTTTTCCATTAGTGGTATCAAGAGCCTTGGTCGAGAAGGACCTAAGGGGTATTGTGTCTGGATACAGTGTAACTGGCCAAGTGTGGTTGGAACGTCCAAAGAAAGGAGTTCTTGTAGCAGAAAGAAGGGTTGATGGCTGATCTTTCTACGATAAACTTTCCAGTTCTTACAGACAAGAACTGGAGTAGGTGGAGCACTCAAATGCGAATCGTGTTTCGTGTACAAGGCGTGAGTGGTGTTGTAGAAGGATCAGAGACTGCGAAAGAAGATCAAAAGGAGGAGTTCATAAAACAAGATGACAAGGCATTGCTGATCATCCATCAATGTGTAGATGATGCACATTTTGAGAAGATTCAAAATGTGACTACAGCGAGGGAAGCCTGGAACATCTTGGTGCGCTGCCACTCTGGGGGAGAAAAAGTTAAGAAAGTTAAACTCCAAACGTTGCGAAGGCAGTATGAGTTCTTTAACCGTATCTTGACTCTTACTAACCAGATGAAAGGCTATGGTGAAGCCATTACCGATCTAATGATAATTGAAAAAATTATGAGATCGATGCCTCCAACGTTTGATCACATCGTGGTAGCAATCGAAGAATCAAGAGACCTTGAAAAACTCAAGATTGAAGATCTACAAAGTTCTCTAGAGGCATATGAAATGAGGAGACGAGAAAGGAATTCAGTCAAAACCGATGAGCTGGCATTGAAGGCTCAGCATGTTAAAGGTGAAGCAAAGAAGAAGTTTAAGAAATGGAAAGGTAAATCCGCTACAAGAGGAAAATGGAAGAATGACAATTGCACGGATGATCAAGAAGAAAAGAATGAATCGACAAAAAGCAAAGGTGGATTCGACAAAAATATGAAGAAAAAGGACAGAAGGAATATAGAGTGCTTCAACTGTCACAAGATGGCACTTTGCGTATGAATGCTATTCAAACAAAGGTAAGCAGAGCAAGAAAATTGTGAAAAAGGAGGCCTATCTAGCAAAAGATGAAGACTCAGATTCAGAAACGTTAACTCTAATGGTGACCACCTCATATGAAGGATCTACATCTGTAAGTAAATCTTGGTATCTGGACTCAGGCTGCTCAAATCATATGACATGTAATAGAGAATGGATAGTTAGTTTGGATGAGTCAAAGAGCAGCAGGATTAAATTCGCAGACGACAGCACACTAAAAGTAGAAGGAGTTGGAAATGTTGTTGTCAAGAAGAAAGATGGATCACATGCGATGATAGAAAACGTGTTATTCGTACCAGCTATGAGATGCAACTTATTGAGTCTCGTTCAGCTAGTAGAGAAAGGATTCACTGTGGTCATGGGAAATCAGGATAGCGTGGAGGTGTTTGATAGTAAAAAGAAACTTGTCTTGAAGAGCAAGATCAGCAAAAACCGAACCTTCCAGGTCAGTATGGATACAGTAGGTAGTTGGCGCTGCTTATCCACTGTGAAAGATGATGAAACCTGGAAATGGCACCTAAGGCTTGGCCATTTGAATTTCAAAGATTTGAAAAAGGTAAGTGAGAAAGGCTTGGTAGATGGAATATCAGACATCAGATTACCAGAAAGCGTGTGTGAATCCCGTGTCATTGGAAAGAAAACGAGAAGATCATTTCAGTCAAAGATAGAAATGAGATCTAAAGAGTGTCTCGAGGTAGTACACTCTGACATTTGCGGTCCTCTGGAGGTGTCAACCTTGGCCGCAAATAGGTATTTCATTACTTTCATAGATGAATTCAGTAGAATGTCTTGGGTGTTTCTAATAAAGCTAAAGAGTGAAGCGTTTGGAATATTCAAGAAGTGGAAAGTCAGAGTTGAAAAAGAAAGTGGAAAAGCAATCAAGGTGTTAAGAACTGACGGTGGAGGCGAGTACACATCTCATGGGTTTGAGCAATTCTGCCAAGAAAATGGAATCAATCACGAGGTAACAGCTCCCTATACTCCGCAGCATAATGGCCTGGCTGAGAGGAGAAACCGGACAATCTTGAACATGACCAGATGTCTTCTGAGAGAGAAGAGTGTGCCACGAATTCTCTGGGGCGAAGCTGTATCAACAGTTGTTCACATTCTGAACAGGTGTCCCACTAAACGTCTTGCAGACAAAGTGCCCATCGAAGCTTGGACAGGTAAGAAACCCTCGGTTAAACATTTCAAAGTATTTGGATCTTTGGTTTTTGTTCATGTTGCAGATCAAAGAAGGACGAAGCTGGAAGATAAAGGAAAGGCAATGGTATTCGTAGGATATCATCCAACCGGTGCGTATAAGCTCTATGATCCTGTCCAAGACAAGATGGTGCTAAGTAGAGATGTGGTGTTTCTGGAAGATAAAAATTGGGACTGGAAACAAAGAAAGACAGAGATGAAGAGGATATCGATAATGCATGGGGTAGCAGATGAATCTACATCTGTTGAAACAGATCTTGCCGATGTCACCAACAGTGAAGCAGATCTGGAAAACACAACACAGAGACCAAGGAGACAACCTGTGAGACCATCCTGGTTCTCGGACTATGAAGTTTACTCTGATAC